TTAGGTATAATAATAATAATAGATTAACGTAATTATTTAGATAAGAATCTGTAGAAAAAGCATTCACCCGCTGGCTGATAATTCAGCACAGATTTGCACTCACACGTAGGCCTAGGACGCTTGGCCTATAGTAGATGATATAACTAAGTTAGATCTAATAATAATAATTTAGATAAGATCATAAGAATCTGTATAAAAAAAACACTTACCTGCTGGCAAGTGATTCATCAGAGATCTAGTAGACCTAGTCCGCCTATCCTGCTAGTAAAGTTGTGTTGTAAACACGCGTACTTGTAAGTTGTAACGTTATTATCAGGCCTATACATACGATTGTTAACAACCGGTTCGTGGAGGTCATTAAATTGCAACAGATACTAATTTGTTAAAACATTTAGGGGGGGGGGTAATTTTTTTGTCTATATTATAAATTAACAAATCGTGTCGAAGTAGAATGGGTCAATAAACTTATTATGCACATCTTATCTTATTATACCTATTATAAATACAAAATTAAAGGTGTGCAGGACTATATATACTTCAACACAGTTATTCATGTTATGTTGACAAATATCTGTACACCATTCAAAATAATCTAACCTCAAATAGAACAACACCTGAAAGTAAGAAACAAGATGTTTGTATCATACCATGTCAATTCTGTAAGAAAGGCTATGAAGGTGAAATGGAAAGAACTTATGACACAAGTTTCTGAACATAAAAATACTTTAAAAATGAAAATACAAACAATGCCATTTTTCTTCATATGAAAGATTCTGCCATCAAATCAATTCGAAATCAACAAGAATTTTATTTTTATACATAATAGATAACTATGTAATGAGAACAATTGTTTGAAAGATTTAATTTCAACACCTTCCAAGGTCATTTTAAGCTAAACACCTTTGACTTCCTGTGTTATAAATGGAATTTGAAGTTCCAGGATCACAAAGGCATTGTTGGCAAGTTTTCCTGCCAGAAGATGATATCTCGCTGAAGAGGATACATGAATGTATGAAAACTAGTTTGTCTAATATCAAGACTTCTGACAGCTTGTTCCATTTACTGTAGATTTTCACTGACTGTGCTACCATTCGTATTGTATGACTTCTCTACGTGCATTATTATGTCATTTCATGGAAGATGTTTAGGTTGCAGTAGTAAGATACCTAATACTTCAGTACAGTAGAATACCACATGCACTTATTTTGTATAAATTATATTGAGGGCTATGTCCCTAAAATAAATACTCCTGGATTACATGCCACATTAACTTGGTACTTATGTGTGTCATTCCATAAATGTGTTTGGGGATACTTGTGTATGTACTCTGGGCTGCAGTTTCCTCTTTTACAGATGCTGATTTTGATTCCTACTGGGAAGATGAATCAAAAAGCAAAAACAGGAATAGAATTCGTGTAGGACGTCAATATCAAGCTACAGTCCCTCAACTTTTAAAGCCAGGTTAGATTTGTATTTTGTTGACATGTCTAATGTAATTATAAGTGTTAGAAACATTTTAATAGGTACATCATATCTGATAGTTATTCACTCGGCAATATTATGTGGTAAACTAGGCTTAATCAGTAGTTTAAGGGGAATAATAATAAACTTGTCTGCATCTTTTCTTTCATGTTTTGATTTTTATTTTTTTGATTGTTGTTGATTCTTTGTGCATTACCAATTTTTTAAATTATGAGTCATACAATGGGCTGTTACTAGAGGTTAAAAATATTAACTAGTACAGAACTTTTCATTCATTAATATTTTATGTATGAAGTAATTGTGTAATTATTTGTACTGAAACTGATGTAATCCAAACTAGCTCCAAATTTTTCCCAGCTTTTATTTCCAAAGTAAAATGTACCAAAGTTTTGTCCAAGCCTTTCTAGTGAGTAGGCAAAATTTGGACCTGTTTTCATTCCTCAAAATCTTCTGATTTTATGGAAAAAAAATTTTATCTGTTTCCTCGCCCAAACCACACATACTGTAAGGTGATAAATAAGCCTGTAAAATATAAAACAACAATCAAAATTTGAGAAATGACTGAGCCTAGTAATGTCTAAAAGACATACACTTAAGCCTAAAAGGAAGTTATAATATAACATTTTAGAAAAGAAATTTTTAATGATTGTATATTCTCACAATTATTTAGAAACCTTGATAATTGTATCCATAAAAAACAATGTATTACAGTTACATGCATTTATTGTACTTACACTTACAAATCTCTTCTTTATCAGTTCTGTTTGTTCAAGTATTTGAAAATCAGGTTATAGAACTGTCACTATAAAAGTGTTTTATTTTTGTAACTTTAATATTTGTATTGTTCATGATAATAAAGTATGTTGCAAAAGCTTTGCTCTGATGTCTTTTTATTAAAGTGTTCATAAGGAGATGTCCATATCTGAAGCCAAAATGTATGAATTTTTATAATTATTAAGGAGAATCTGATGGTAGACAGTTAGAAGACTTGGAGACGCTGAAGTGGAAACCTAACAATGATCTGAGTGATCAACAGTTGGATCAGTTTTTTTCCGTAGCAAGGTTAGTAAATATATCTTTGTATTTTAGTTACACTTCTGAACATTCTTATCTTGCCTGGCATACTGGTCTAATATGCTGAGGTCAGTGTGTGAATATACTACCCCCCCCCCCCCCCTTGATATTAGTGGAAAATAATGCTTTACAAAAATTATTTAGATCAGCATAAAAATTAAGTGAAGAGATAAGCTCCTAAATATAAATAAAACAAATTACAAATACCAAGCCTAATTATTTGTTTACTCCTGACTTAGACCGTTCTGTACATCCTGACCTGTTTTTAATAAAACTCTCCTTTAAGATCCCAGACTATTTGTTTACTACTGACTTAGACCAACTTGCACACCCTGAACAGCTTTTAATGAAATTTATCTTCAAAATTCCAAACTGTTTAATACTAATTTAAGATCCAGCATTGCAGTTCTGTCATACAACTATTGTGATTCAGTAACTAAAATTTTAATTTCTGGTTAGTATAGAATGTTAACTTTAGTTATTAATATTTTGTTGAAGTGTTTGTGGTTTCTTTCAGAGCCGTAAGTTTCTTTGCTAGAGCCATTGACAAATACCAGCATTCAGATAAGGAGTCAGACAAGTGCATACAGACAGCTTTAAGGGGTTTGGTATGTCTGTTGTTATTTTATAACACTTGGTGGTATTTAATCCAAAAATTCAAAATGCCTCTTACTTCACAGTCTTTACCTGAATGTGTGCATCTAAAGAAAATTATCAACATGAAGTTGAAGCTTATAAATTGATTGTTTGAAATTTGTCACCAGTCCTTTTGTCATGTTCAGTCTATTTCAGAAGTGTAGAATAAAAAATGTTCTGTATATTACCAGAAGTAAAAGGGAGTATAGTATTTCATTAAGTTAATATGTGAATCGTATCTTTTAACTGATATGTGAATCTTGAGATCTCGCATTCTGACTAGATGAAAATTTTCAAAATAACAAATATCAAACCAAGTTATCTTTTGTCTGTGTCTTCACTCATCCCATATTTTAGTAACAATTAGGTAAAATACTTCGTTCTTATAACAAATAAACAAGCAGTGCTTTGATATGAAGATGAAGTAATATAAAAATAAATTATGCTTATTTTTGTCTGGTTTAGACTGTGTTATTGCTGGAGGTTTTATATACATGTATTGTTATGTGTATGTATGTAAGAACAAAACTTTTTCATTTTGTATGGTGATAACGTTAAAAAAATTATTATTGCATGTAAACTTTAATTTTTAACAGTAAATATCTAAGTAAATTTTAAAACTATTTTGCTACTTAATGTTTTATTATTTGAAATTCCTAGACAGAGTATGTGACATCTCACCATCCTTGTCACCATGATGCAAACTGTCAGCTTTCTCAGGGATCTTCTGACCCCCAGCCTTCTGGCTCCAACAGTTCCAATGATTGGACTTATGGTGAAGCTCAACTGTTTGCAAGAGCTCTAGAAGCTTGTGGAAAGAATTTTGGAGCCATTAAGAAAGATTTTGTAAGTTATCTTAAACCAGAAATATAGCTTTCAGTTATTGTAAGCTGTCTAACTAAGTTGGGTTTGAAAATAGTCAAAAAGCAATAACATTTCATGATAAAACTGATGGAGTGATAATATTTCTTACAAACATAAACTTGAAGCTTTTAATTCAATTACTTATCTATTGTACTTGGGGAGAGATGTACTCTGTTCTTTAAATACATATTGTGTATGATTTATTCATTGTCATGAATCTGTGGAACTTTCTTCACAGTAATCAAATAACTTGGAACAATGTTCCAGATTTCTTCTGACTGTTGTCAATGATGAACTGCTGTAAAAGGAACAGTAACATTATCAAAATGACAGAGGAAATGTATCAATGCAGCATGTGCTGAAAATGTCTTGCCCCAATGTAGAATACATTTTGCGAACAACATTTTTCCATTTTGTCTACAACGGTTTTAATTGCATAAAAATTATTATTCTTACTTTTTTATTTTTTCTTATTTTTTATTTTATTCTCTCTTTTTTTTTAAAATTATCATGAAAAGACCATCCAGTTAAATGGTTTTGCTTAATAGCTAATATAGTTCTTCATAGTTAAAATGTTGTGATTTGAGTTTTGAGGGTTTTTAGCTGATAACAGGATGTGAAATGGTTCCAAAACTTTTGTAAATAAAGATGTTTTTGGTATTACTGTGTTTCTAATATTTTTTTGTAACTTAATTTTAAGTACATAAAATGCATTTCAAAATTCAGTTTTTTGCCATCAAGACGCAGATCTAGGTAGGTTGAACCAGAAATATCACCATTACGCAACATTAATTTATTGTCTGTAAAACATAAACGTTCAGGTACTTTAACTTTTCATAAGTGTTCAATATCTTTGTCATCTTTAGTGTTAAAGCGCATGATGTATGCAATTAAGTGACAATATACAGTGTATCGTTTTAATAGCTAATGAAATAAAGCTGTAACTCAGGTTTGCAGCAGTATTGTCCAATGTTTGCACAAGTTTCAGAACCCACACTTTTTTATTTGAATTATTACATATATATATTTTTTCTCGGCTTCATAACCAATCATAGCAGTGAAACAGACTAATTGTAATATTGCATGGTGATGGCTTGAATGGGTAATGAAGAAAAACTTTAATATAAATTTAACATAACAGCAAATGTACAACATTTTGACAAGGTTTTATCATCATAATTAGTCTCAAAGTGGGTTCCTCGTCATCGAATTTGAATTCATCAAGACTAATTGTAAATTGCATTAACTGTATTTTTGTGGATTTTTGTTCTTTTTGATAATTTGAATTATAGAGATCTAAAAAAGTTTATTTCTGACTTTTGATGGACTGTAAATTTGTTCTTTTACATTACCTACCTTTCATCAGAGAAATCAGGATATTTGGTAAGTTTAAAATGACCAAGCTTTTCTAGCACATCAGCCAACTACCTCACCCTCCTTTACTTTCTAGTTCAGCTGTCTGTTTTCTTGTGCTGGTTTACTGTTTGGTATATGATTATATTCATACGTGTAAATTGAAGAAAATAAGTTTTTTGTTTTGTTTTTTACCTTTGGTAAAACTCCTTTAGAAAGGCAGTGTTAGAGTGAGATAATTTTCACCTGAATGTTCTTGGATTAACTTTCTCATTTTAAAGTGCTAGGGTTTTATTTTTTTTCATTATTGAGCTCTGGCGTGGCTCTGTTTTATAATTTTTGGTTGCTTAATTTCATTGTTACTATATAAATTGTAACTAATAGTATTGTAAGATGTTATTTGGTAGAATCTGAAATCAAACCTTTCTGAATACTTATGAAAATAATTTTCTAAGTTTATGTTTACTTAATTTAAAATTTTTAATTGTTATTGCACAGTTATACAGAAATTGTGTTTAAAGGGAGTGGCTTTTTATTAGATATTTCCATCTTGGCATATTTAGATGTTGATCATTTACCTAAAGTTTGAGAAGAAACAATTCTACACTTCAAAATTTTAAAAAAGATTTTAAAATAATAGAAATAAAAAATTTAAGTTTCTAACTTGCAAGATGATCAGCAAATGAAAATGAAATACTTACTGAGTTTGGTTACTTTGTCAACTCTAGGTGAAGAGGAGAATAAGTTAAATTTACAAGTATTTCCAGTAAATTTTTAGTATTTGAAATAACAGTTGTTGGAGGTAAAGTACATAAAAATGAGCATATTCAATCAAGGACAAGTCAGTACACTAACTTATCAGTGGTAATGTTCTGATAGATTTTTACTAATTTTTAAAACTGTGTTCTTCATCTTCCTAGTTACCATGGAAACCTGTGAAGAGTATTATAGAATATTATTATCAAGGAAAAGAGGAGCGACCAAATTCTTCTCATAATAATTTAGGTGAACCTTCCACCAGTATGTTTTCTGTAGTAGAGCCAAAAGTAAGTGTGTTTTAAAAGTTTTTTTAAAGAAATATCTTGATATTACACAAGCTATATCTAACAAAACCTTTACTGCTATATTTGGTGTAAATATTATTCACAATATCCTAAAAGTTAAATCTTTCTTGTGTTTAGCTAGCCAGTAGTTGTCAGTTTTGGCTACTGACCCAAAAATTTGAGTGATCAAATAAAACAAGAAGCCTGTTTTAAATTAAAATATAAACATTAAACTTAAATGCAATCCAACTGTCTATTAAACTAATACATATAAGGTGAGAAACACTTGCCAAGCACTATGTACACCTCAAGAGAACAATGGATTTAGCTTTATTTCATTTCCGAATGAACTTATACACCTACACTTACCATTATACATTACCAAGATTCAAGAGGGAAGTCTGCTCTTTCTGTTGGTTATTAGCATGCCAGTCAACTTCAAACAGTCACATAGCAACATAGATTCAACTTTGCGAGTGGGCGTGGCTGACCTTAAACTCAGGAAATGCTTATGAAAGTTAAACTTGGGGGGGGGGGGAGGAATGTCTTCTAAAGATCTTGAGAAACTAATGTAAAACATCTGTTTGTGTACTTTGGATGTCTACAGGAACTGTCTGCATTCCAAAACACAGTTTCTTCTCTACCAGCTCTTAAATTTGAGAAATTGTAACTGTGACCTGATCACGTGATAGCAAGAACTGCAGTTTTAATTGGTGGTTTAGATGTTTCTTTTTAAGATAAAACTTTAAACTATAACGTACTTGATAATAATTATTTCATTAAAATATATTTTGAATGTAACTCAGTAACATGCATAGAAGTGGGTTAACAGGGTTTAAAAATGATGTCATTGCTATAGTTAAACAGTAATCTTTTGCAAATAAGTGCATCTTCCCATATTAAAAATTTTTCAGTTTATCATTATTTGTTATGAAGAGTAGAAACGTGTTACTTTTATAGAGGACCTGTATGAAGTTACCGGCTTTAATAAATTGGTAGCGAATGAAGTGTATTAAAACAACTCCATAATGTAACTTCATACACTTACAATCATAACTATAAATGTTACTGAAATCAACAGTTCTATTAGACTTTGTATCACTTAATGATCTTGTTTGTTTATATGTATACAGTGTAGCAGTTAATAGTTTGTACTTCCAATTAGAGCAAACTATCTACATAGATCAAAACTAAAAATCAAATCAGTAGTCAGCATAGCTATTAGTGAAAAAACACAGTAAACAGAACAAACTGTCAGAAGTGTGATATTAGAGAAATTAGTTTCGACACATTCGTGCGTCTTCTTCAGTCTCATGTTGTCTTCTGTGTGGAAACTATTCTCTCTAATATCAGACTTCTGACAGTTTGTTCCATTTACTGTGGTTTTTCAATGATTGCTATACACGATATTGTGTTCTTTTATCATAATCACTATAGCTAATTAGATAACACTATTCTTCCATTCTTACTTGTAAATATTAGAATTCATTGTTTCTTCAGTTGGACACCTTCACTGTTAACAGTATTTTTGGTCATAAACTTGGTAATTTCCCACAAGGTTCAGCTAGCTTAGGAGATTTGGGTTAGTCCTATATCCATATACTAAGCTAACAATAACAATATAATCTCTATGATAAAAGTATAATAATCGTAATAATTTAATAGTAATAAAATTAGATACATTCTGGGGGACAAGTATGGCCCAGTGGATTTGAGATTCTGTGGTTTTCTCCTTGTTATCAACAAAAACAAATATGAGGCTCTGTGCATTGGAGCTGTGGGTGTTTATAAGAGTGATAGTCAAATCCCACTATTCGATTAAAGTGGCCCAGAAGCTCATAGTGGGTGGTATTGACTATCTGGCTCTGAGTAGCTTTGCACAAAATTTAATAAATCAACAATTAAACATTCTAACCAATACGTTAATCCTTTCAATATGGGTCACATGTGAAAGGCCATGTCATCTCGTTTGTTCACTCACATTCAAAATTTTATTGAACTACTATTTCA